AGAGATGGACTTTATATTCCAGGAACAAAGAGCTGTGTATGACTCTGTTTGCTGTTCCCAGTAGTGCCGCTGTGATTTTGCTCCCGATTGCTCTGAGCAGACATGAGCAGAGCTGCCCAGTAGTAGGTAGCAGGGTAGTAACACAAGCAGGTGACGTTTCTGCATGAGGTTCATGTGGCTGGTAGGTTGCTTTAAAGGTCAAAACTTCAAGACTCCTGCTCTTCTGATGCATTATGCAGATATGTATGAAGTTGGTTAAATGAAGGGGGAGGCAAAAAATAGTAGTTTTCCTCAGCCCTAATTTTAGGATTTCAGTTCCTGATGTTAGTAGTAGTTTCACAGTTTCACCACGTCAGTACTGAGATAGGTCACCTAATTTTAAGTTACTTTAAGTCCTCCACTTCTAGGAGGACTTTTAACCTATTTATTACAAGTATAAAATACGTCCCTCTTTAACATAAAGGCATTATGGTATTGCAGTGACTAATGGGACTAATGCTGCTGTTTCATTCCCTGCACAGTTTTAAAACCCCATGTCAAATAGAAGCTTAGCTAGACGTGGTGTTTTCTATTGCAGCATGCTTTTGTGGCATAGGAAGTTTGAAAACAGTGTACTAGGAACAGTTTGTAGCTGTGGCAGTAAATGCTTTTCTGGCTGTCACCCCAGGTTTCATGATAAATCTGTGCATTGCAATGTGTATGCACTTGCCCCGGTCATGGCTGCTTGCAAAACTTGGTTGGATAAATTAAAGTGAAGTGTCTGTTACACTTTCCCAGGCAGCTGTGCTGTCCTGGCTCTCAGAAGTGAGCTTCTCTGCTTCCTGTGCCGTGTCCTGGGGCACAGCAGTGAGTGCTGTGAGTGGTGAAATCAGGGAATTTCAGTGAGCCGGAGGAGGAAGTGAACGTTCTGTCCTCCTATGTGGTCACGGTCAAAAGTACCCGAGTAAAACTGGGGGGGGGGTGAGAGGGAGCATGTTCAAAGAACTGCAGGAAGTGACACCTTTTGTCAAGCAGATAGATGCAAAATCCCTGGATTTTCAAAAGTAAAAAGCTCCAGGGGTGGAGTTTTGTCAACCTAACACAGCCATGGTGTCTGTGTGCTTCTGGTTAAAGGTAACTGAAGCAAATGCCATATTACGCAGCTAGCAGGTGGTTAACCAAAGGGAATTTCACTTTGCTGCGGAGATGGGAAACCACAATACGTGTGCCTTCCTCCAGGTTATTTAGTGGGCATTCAAAGAAAAAATCCTGGGGGTGGAGGGTGTGGGGGAATAGAGTAAAAATTTCAAGTTTAGGTTCCTCTAGTCCATTCAGAGACTCTGTAACCGATCTGTTGGGTTGGTGAAGAGGGATATGTCATGCCACAGATACCTTTAAGAGCTCTCCTGTCTTTTGTTAATGGTATCAAGATGTGTATTTCCAAGTGCCTTCATCAGATGATGCTTTTATAGTAAGGCCATTAAAATGGATTTCTCAGAAAGGTCCCTTTTAAAAGCAGCAATAGGAAATGAGAGGTTTTTGATTCCTTGCTTTGTGCTGATATTACCAGAAAACACTTACTGAGTATTCTTACTGGGTGGCAAACACTAAGCAAAATGTTGTTTGTTCTGCTGAACAGACTAGCTGAAGGTGGCCTGTTTCTTCTTGCTTTGTACCATAGGGATGTCTGTCCTTTCAGTTGGATTGCTCCCTGGACTTGCCCTTTTTGGTATGTTTTAAAGAAATAAGTTGGATAAAGAGGTATCTGGATCCTGAAGAGCATTACACAATACCTGACGCCTAGTAATTTCAGTATGTCCTTCAAGTACTTATGCTGTACTGGTGTTACATGTGCACCAGCAGGTAATTTACAGTCATTAAAATTAATTGCATCATCTGCTCACCTGATTTATTATCTATGATATGTTAGTTTTCCAGATATTCAGAGACAGCTAGAATGAACAGGACTAAAATTATTATACAAACCCTCTGACCAAGATGGACTTTCTGTAGGAATCTCGCAGAAACAAGAAGAGGTACAGAGCTTTGTTCCTTCTCTATACATGTTAGTACAAGAATATGAAAACTGCAGTCCTTGATAGTCTAGGATCAGCCTCTGACAGAGGCCAGTAATATAGTGATGACTGTATATTTGCTTTTTTTCTAATCTTACTTCCCTGAGGTTTCCCTACTGGCTTTCATCAGCTAGTGATTTAGGGACTTCCTGAGTCAGATGCTGCATCCACACTTGCTTAAAAGCTAAGAGACCTTTCTTCCTTTAGTTCATCTGATCATTTTTGAAACCATTTATCCTTTTGCCATCCAAAACATCCCATGACAGTGAGTTCCTGAATCTGATACTTTTTTTTTATGCAGTAACTTTTTGGTTTGGGGTTTGGTTTTTTCCACTTGATACTGAATACTTGCATTATGAAAACCAGCAAGTACTAATCCTCCATTCACCACATTATTTGTTCATGATTTTATAAACCTCAGACATAAGTCATCTCTCTTCCTATTTCAGAAGTTTGAGCTTATTTAATATTTCATTATGAGAAGCCTTTCTGTATCTATCTGGTTCACCTTCTGTATATTTTGTATGTTTTCTGCATCTCATATTTATTAGAAGATGACCCAAGCTGTACAGTGGTGATGAGAAATAGATTTCTGTTACCACAGTGCCCTTGGTTTCTCTCTCTAATTCACAGCTCTTTTTTGACTTTGTCTTGGCACCTCATCCCTGTCCTGCCATGTTCAGTGAACTTAAAACTAACCTTGAAATAGCAAAGGATGTAATGTTTCCATGTTTCCTGAATGACTCTCAAAAGATATGCTGCCTATAAGCACTCATTCAGTCCTTCTGTGGAAGGATGGGCCAATAGACATCAGTTAAAACATGTATTTGTGATTTTTACAAAAGCTGGCTTGCTAGAGGAGAGAAGGTGGCTTTAGTTGTTAGTAGTCATTGGTCCTCTCCAAGTTCCGTACTTGTTTTCCTCCATTGCTCTCCTCCCCTCCCAGATGACACAGCTCTCAGAAATGGAAAGGAAAATCTTTCCTAAAACTGTTTTGGTACCTTTTCTGATTCTGAAGGAAAGCACATAAACTATGCTTCAGAATACCAACAATTCTCAGGATTACAGAAACAAATCCAATCCCTTTCTTCTTTTGATTATAAGAACAGGAGCTCAGAAGAAAACAGGAAGCTGATCCCAGCAGTTTGATCTGTACTGCATGTGAGGAATTGGATTTCAAAAGTCTTCCTAAACTCAGACTTAAGGGATGGAAGGTGCAGTGGTTTTGCAGAAACTGAGGAATTTTGTCACTGGTTTTCATGGTTTGAAGAACTTTTAGTTTTGTGGGGAGAGTAGAAGCATGAAGAAACTTTAAATGTCAGTGATATGTATAGATACATCATTGATCGTACAAAAGCTTTAGGCATCAAGTCTCTTCTATATAATCAAGTGTACTGGAAAGGTCCAAATGTGTCTTAAGAAATGTAGCTGTTCAGGAAAGCCCTGAGAGGTAATGTGGGAAAATTACTGCAGTACTATTGTTGAAGCTTTTAATGAGCTTTTTAAACACTATTAATGAGTCCCGAGAGACACTTTCTTTGCAACTGTTATCTTTCTGGAAAAACTGGAGGAAAAATGTAACTAATTTTTCAGCTTTACAAGTAAGTCCAATCCTGGGGTCCTGCTGCCCCAGGGAGATGGGACAAGCTGCATTTATTATGAAAAGGATGAAATGCTATTTCATACCAAACTGGGGTAGAGAGTTAGCTGCTTTATCCAAGGTACTAGTTGGTCTAGTGAAGGACACCGTCTTTCTACAAACCTTTATCCTGAAATTACAGGCACATCAAAGATGATATCAGACCTTTGTCTAGTGTTTAACTTCTGTTTTTCCAGGACTGTTACCTTCCAGCCCTTCTGCTGTGTGTTTGTGTGGAGTTGTATTGTATTTGGACTGGGATGCAAAGCCAGCATTAAATATGCATCCTGTTTTGTTTCCTTCTGATCCACTTGATTTTTATACTTTTCCTGGATGATTTTGCCTGGCATTCCTCTTCTCATTATCAGACAAAATCCCCTTTTCTTCTCTCTGCCTTTTATTTTGATCCCCAGGCTCTTTTATTTACTTTTCTAAGCCCTAGCAAGTGTTATCCTTTATAGCAGAAGAGACAGCTCTGCTTAAAAAGGTCCTGCAAGGTCCTGCACCTGGGTCGGAGCAATCCCAGGCACAGCCACAGGTTGGGCAGAGAAGAGATTCAGAGCTGCCCTGCAGAGAAGGACTTGGGGGTGTTGGTTGATGAGAAAATGAACATGAGCCAGCTTCAGTGTGCGCTCACAGCCCAGAAAGCCAAGCGTATCCTGGGCTGCATCAAAAGGAGCATGACCAGCAGGTCGAAGGAGGTGATCCTGCCCCTCTACTCTGCTCTCGTGAGACCTCACCTGGAGTATTGTGTGCAGTTCTGGTGTCCTCAACATAAAAAGGACATGGAACTGCTGGAACAAGTCCAGAGAAGGGCCATGAGGATGATCAGGGGACTGGAGCACCTCCCGTGTGAAGACAGGCTGAGGAAGTTGGGGCTGTTCAGGCTGGAGAAGAGAAGGCTGCGTGGAGACCTCATAGCAGCCTTCCAGTGTCTGAAGGGGGCCTATAGGGATGCTGGAGAGGGACTCTTCATTAGGGACTGTAGTGACAGGACAAGGGGTAACGGGTTAAAACTTAAACAGGGGAAGTTTAGATTGATTATAAGAAAGAAGTTCTTTACTGTAAGGGTGGTGAGGCACTGGAATGGGTTGCCCAAAGAAGCTGTGAATGCTCCATCCCTGGGGATGTTCAAGGCCAGGTTGGACAGAGCCTTGGGTGACATGGTTTAGTGTGAGGTGTCCCTGCCCATGGCATGGGGGTGGGAAGTGGATGATCTTGGGGTCCTTTCCAACCCTAACCATTCTATAAAAAAGACAGAGCACTCAGCTGTAGCCAGAGAGACCTCCCCTTAGCTGAGAAGTAGCTATAGCAGTATTGAATGCAGCCCCCTGCCTCTGCCCTGCTCCAACAGCCACCTTCCATCTGTGTCGGGAAGCAGTAGGTGCAGTCAGACCTGCAGTTCTCACCTGCAGTGCAGAAGACAGGATTGCTTTCTCAGCATTTCATCAGCACTTCCATTCATCATCATCTGTTCCATAAATTCACTGGTTTTTTATGCTGTCCTTTTCTGCAGCAATGCTGGACACTCCTTTAGCACACCAAACTGGACAAGTCAGGGTTACTGGGAAGCTCTCTAGCCAGCCTGCAGTCTTGTTCTGCTGTTGTAGACCTGCCTGCATCCCACTGCGTGCTGTCCTGCTTCACCCACACCATGGGTGGTGAAGCCCCATCACTGCTCTGCTGGAGGCTGCAGCAGACTCCTGCTCTGTGCCCTTCCCACCCATTGCAGGCACTGAGCAGTGGAAGCTTCTTGGAGTCATACTTGGGTGTTAAGTCACTCCAGTCTCAGGAGTGTTCTAAGGCAACTGTAGGAGCTTAAACCCTTACAAGTCTCTGCTAAGAGCAGGACTATCCTGCTTCTGTAAGGCTGAGACCTAGAAAGAATAGCCTGAGAAGCTAGATCCAGGCACTTAAAAATCCAGGAGCTCTGTTCACTGGGATCAGGGATTTTTTGTGTTACAGATGTGGGTAATACAGGGAGTGTACTCTTCTGGGTTTGTTTTGGTTTGTTTCTCCCCCTCCTAGTCTCCAATTGTTTTGCATTAGTCACTGGTGCTGATTAAAGCCCATCCCTGATGAAATCTATTAAGGTGACTCCATTACCACTGTGTCAAGGAACAGGAAGGTATAAGCTGATAGACAGATGCAATCACTGAGTCTGACCCTACCTGCACAATAGTGTCTGTATGCCAGTTACCCCAAAGGAGGTGGTGGTTAGTGGAAAGGCGTGTGCAGGAGCCAAGAAAAATGAACGAAAGGTTAAGCTTGGAAGGGTAGAGAAGGGAAGAGGTGGGTGCAAAGAGGAACTGAAGAGCTGGCAAAGGGGATTCAGCTTCTTGTAAACATACAGCTTCATGAAAACACGACTTGGATCTGTGTAGCTGAAGGTTTTTAGAGGCTGGAAAAACAAAATCTCTTTTATAATTTCTCTAGTCCTGACTAATGACATGTGGATGCAGAATTTTTGTCTGTATTTGATCTCCTTGCATTCCTTGGAAGAAGTGTGCAGATGATGCAGCTCCCAGACATACACTTTGCAGAACATGAAACCAAGGCATTTCCAAATTGCTGTGTTGGAAGAATTAGAAAAAACAGGATGAGGTGAGAGAATTGAAAATAGCAGGGCTTAAAGATACTTGGGAGGTTTTGAAAAGCTGGTTTTGGTGTTGGAGAAAGCTAATTTGACAGAACCAAAACTTTTATTGCAAGTTAACCACAGCTTAACTGTTGACTCTTCCAGGGGAGATGCAGAAAGAAAGAGCCCCTGTGAACCAGAAAACTGAGGTGAAAAGTGGCTGATTTGCAGGTCTGAAGAGTCATGGTCAGGTTTCCATCAGGGCAGTCTGCCTGAGCCCCTGTCAGCGTCTGCCTATGGAAAAACTTCATCCAGATAGAATGTAAGAGACATCCCTGAACAACCTGTCACTTAGAGCATTGCCCCGCTACAGGAAAGGTTCCTGCTCTACCACAGGTGCAGATGGACGTATGAGCATGATTTAATCAAATATACACTCTTCTGCTATATGCATACATGGATTTTGGAGATTCTTTGTAGGCAGTGTAGTGAACAGCCATGGGAGGAGGTACACAGCATCGTTTCTCTGCAATTTGTTGCACAAGTGCTGCATGATGCACATCATGTATGAAAAGGGCAGGATGGCAGGAGCTGGCTGCTAGTGCATGTGGTCCTCAGGGTCAAGTTAAGTGCTGCTGAGGGAGGGAGGGAGGGAGGAATTGCTCCATCCCTAGGAATGCCTCTGCTGGGCCTAGAGATGCTCCCACAGAGCAGGTTAGTGCTGCCAGCTGGCAGAGAGGCTGCAGCAGGCTCTGAAGGCTGCAAAGGCTCCTTGTAGGAGGGAAATACAGAGCACTGTGGCAGAAAAAGCAGGTAAACTTTTTGTAGGGACCAAGCAGATACTGCATGGAGTTTTCTGATCAGGGAAACTGAAATTTGCTGGACTGAAAGACTGGAAGGCAAGCTACGTGGTTTCCTTGCCTTGTGCAAGGATGTAGCCTAACTCCCCTCAATCTTCTGCTCTGTAGTCGTATTTTATAATCTTTTGTTAAACTTCTGTGATATTTTGTCTGATTTCTTTTTCTTCTGTTTCTATTGATGTACAGTTTCAAAGCAAGGTGCAGTTCTTCAGCTGTGCTTTATTGACACCACGTGGAGCAGGGGGATTTCTTCACATCCAGCTGACAGCTCTCTCCTGTTTATCCTCTGCACTTTGGGTCTGGCTTATTCGCAGCAGCCTGTGACTCAATGCAGCCGCTGAACCTTTTTGAGGAATTGTTCTGTTAGTGATTCCTCATCACGTATTTGTGCAGTTCATTGTCCTCAAGCTGTGTAACTTTGCATTTGTCCTTGCTGAATTGCCAGTGTTTTCCAAACTACCATTCCAGTTTGCCAGAGCCACTCTGAGTCCTTTCACCAATGTGCTGGCACCTTCTTTTCATTTGGGGATCTGCATGTGTGTTTAATACATGTTCACTGTCCTGTCCCCCAGGTAGTAATAGAAATACCTGCTTGTTAGGTCCAAGACTAATCTTTTTGCTGGCACATTCTCCCAGACTGATTTTTTGTACCCCTTGAGATGATGTTTTTTCATAGTTTGCTTATTGAAATGTCATGTGAAAATGGCATTGGAACTCTCTCACGGTATCTACTGTTTTTTTTTCTGTACGCAAGAGCTGCTACCCTGAAAAAGAAGGAAACAATCAGTATGACCACGAGTAGCGGTCAGCGTGGGTTTGTCTAGAATAAATCGCCTCCTTGCTGTCAGGTAGGCACTTATAAATCATCTGCTTCTTCCTTCAAGGGGGGATTGAATTTGGTTTTATTTTAAAGACGTTTGTCCTTTCTGGGCTTCTGGAGTTTCATCCAGAAGAGATTGAGGGTCTGGGAATTCAAAAACTTCAGCTGATTGTTTTAGTTATAAACTTTGTGATGATCAGCATCAGCACAGTCACTTTGAAAAAGTTTATCCCAAGAAATCCCATGTTTAAGTTCACGCTCCTATGTTATGGCTTGTGTTGGGTTAACCGCTCTGTTACAGCTGGCTTGTGTCATGACAGATTTCAGGCCTTTTTTCTCAGTTAGAGTCCAACTCCTTCCTTTGTCTTCCTCTTTCAGTTTAATACCAGGGTCCTAAATGTGGTGTGCACACAGGTGAGATTCAGAAGGACATGCTGAAGTTTGGTATAATTGTGTGTATATTCACAAAGATCAGAAATTCAATAACATCAGTAGTGAGTAATGCTTTTTTCTCACTGCAGTACCAGCAATTCAGATTCTGGCTTACAAAGCAACCAAAGTGGTGTTTGCTTGGTTTTGCACAAGTTCCTCAGTAGATGTAAGTCAACATCTCAGGCCACCTTCACGCAGCCTAGGAAAGTGCAGAGGTTGCAGGTCACGTTCGTAATGCACTCACAAGCTCATGGGAGAGTTTCCAGAACAACTGCTTAGTTTAGTCAACCCCACTGTTTCCTCACCTTTATGAGCAATGGAGCCACATCAGCATTGTAATACAGAGGAGGGAATACCACAGGTACTGACAATAAGTGTGAGGGACTTTTATGTTATTGCCCACTGTTTTGCACATGGTCTGGTATGATTCATCATATTCCCAAAATGGGAGCACTGTTACAAAGACAGCGATTTGGAAATCTCATCTAATTGAGCCATGAAGAAATCAGACATAACAAAAGAATGGAAACAGCTGATGTACCCCACGCTAACCGTAAAACTAGCTACAAAACAATTCATGTCATGGGCTGTGAACTCAGGGAAGAAGAGATAACTCTGATCAGTATCCAGCCAGGAGAGGGTCTAATGTATGCATAGTGATACCAGCCATCAGGATTTTAACTTGCTGTGATTTAGTGGGCCTATTTATAAAACAGGTACCTGTACTCGTCCTTCCAGGTTTTCAAGGCGCTCTCACGTTCTACCAGTCTGTTAGCTGAGTTTTGAAAACAAGCCTGTGCATTTGAATTGAGGAATTTCTAGTCTGCCAAAAATGTGGAAGATCTCTTTCCTTTCTCTTCACCTTCAACCCTGCCAGCAATGGACTGTGTTGGCTTTCTTATAAACACTTCAAGAAGTGTTTGTTTTGGAAGCCATGCCAGTGTGCTGTTTTTCTGAACATTCAGCACTGGTTCCTGTCTGTCTGGTGTTTCAGTTGAGGTTTTAGGTGTCTCCTCCATAGGCAGAGCATTGCCAGTAGGTTGAGGGAGGTGATCATTCCCCTCTCCTCAGCACTGGTGGGACACATCTGGTTCTCTCCAGTACAAGAGACATGGATATAAAGGAGAGAGTCCAGCAAAGGGCCACAAGGATGATTCAGGCCTTGGAGCATCTGTCAAACAAGGAGAGGTGACAGCTGGGGCTGGAGAAGAGAAGGCTCATGGTGACCTTCCCAGTGTGTATAAATACCTGATGTAGGGCAGTACAGAAGATGGATCCAGACTTTTCTCAGTGGTGTCCAGTGACAGGATGAGAGGCAATGGGCACAAGCCGAAATGCATGAAATTCCATTTAAACATAAGCAAAAACTTCTCTATTGTGAGGTTGCTGAACCCAGGAGGAAGTTGCATAGAGAGCTTGTGGACTCTTCATCCTTGGAGATGGTCAAAGCCTGACTGGCCACAGCCCCAGGCAGCCTGCTGTAGCTGACCCTGCTTTGAGGAGGGGCAGGTTGGACTAGATGATCTTCAGACCTTCCTCTCCCCAAGCTGAACTATTCAGTTGTTTTCATAAAGTTGCCATTGATTATGAGAGTCATAAATTTTATTTAGTTAAATAATTCATGCCTAGACCTGCTGTCTTCATTCACAAGTTCCGGTATGTTTCTTCTTGTGTTTCCTTTAGGTCCTGGCTCCATGCCCGTGTCCCTTTCTGTGACATTTAATTCCTGTCTTGCACGCATACAGAAATTTCCAGTATTGATTTAATGGATGCCTAAATGCTGTTCCACTGTTTACGTCCTTAAAATCTCTTCCTTCATGGTCAGTCTTGGCTTCCCAATCAGTAACCTTTTATAGCCTTTTGATGTGTTTATATTATCCGCTTTCATATTTGACCTCCCACTTGCAAAGATCTGGAGTGGAAACTCCAAATGCCAGACACACAAACACAAGTTGACATTTTCTGAACCTGTAGTCTACAGCTCTTGCTTCAAAGAGATTCAAGCCTTCCAAATGTGAAGGATCCTGCAGTGCTTACACTGGGGTCTGAGTTCATTACCTGCCGCAGCTGTCAGCCTCTTGTGTAGATCAGACTCATCTTGACTGCTGAGCAATTGCATCAGTAGTTGGAGTAATTGCACCAGTATAAACAACTGTGTAGCTACAGGTTGTACTGGTTTGGTGCACTGAAGAGCTGAAAGACTGCTTCAGGTTGTGTTGCTACTACAAGTGGGGTTGGGGGTGCTGGAGACTTGCTCATTGTTCTATAGCTGGGATTTTTAGTTAATATACCTTTTGATGCGTTGTTCACTTTTTTAATGCACTTAAAATGTGCATGATTGTTTGTAATCATTTAAGTACATAACCCCCAAATGTAGACACAGCCTTAAACTACAGCAGTGCATCAGGTCTCAGAGTTAGCCTCTTTGACCTGGGCATGTCAAATTGATGACTACCTACAGGTGTGGGTTAATGCAACCTCTAGCCCTTGCATAAAACAGCTGAGACAACTCAGGCAGAGGCAATCACAGGTTTGTCCTATTGAAATGATGTCAAAGCAGTTGCACTGTTCACACAAAGTTCGCTCTGGTTTGTGTTAGCATCATCTCTAGAAGAACTGCAGGGATGACCCTGTATTGTGCAGGGTGTCACAAAAGCTTAAGTGAGTCACAGCTGTCTCTCTTCCTCAAGCTGAAAGCTGCATGGAGGAGACTGGAGATTGACTTTTGAAGTCCACTCAAACATCAGCTACTTTAAGCCTTATAACAATATTAACATCAGCTTGTAGGCAAACTGCTCAAAGGTTCAGAAGAATCACTTAAGTACACAAGCCGAGCTTCTTACTTACAGATATTGGGGTCCTTTTCTGTAGATGCTGGGGACATTGTGTGGCCCTCTGGTTAAGGAAACAGATTAATTTTATGAAAATCTCTTACAAGTTATTATCTGTTCTCACTATTTGTTTTTGCACTATTGCAGCAAAACAAATACTTGCAAGTATTTCTCTTTTATATATGTAGTGCAGGCATCTCTCATATATATAGCACAGGCATCCTTCTGGGGCTTGACTCAAAATCATTCAGTTACTCAAGATTCTAAAAGAGGTCCAACTATGCATTTTGGTGACTGCAGGTGGTTTACAGCTGCTGGAAACACAAAGGCACAACCTGACTCCAGAGGAGAGTAGAAGGTGGCACTCTCCTGCCTTTCCAGGCTGCAAGAGTGGCTTTTATTGCCCAAGTATTTCTCAACCTTGTTACTGCCCAGTGTGTGTAACAACTTCATAGTAAAGCATGCAAGAGAGTACAGCAGAGGGGAGAGTGTCCTCATGCTGTTTTGCAACACTGCACATTAGAGTTCTTCAGCTGTGCTAAGAGGAAGTTGTTATTGAGTTTTGCTGCCATTTAAGGAAGGTTAAAGCTCCAGTAAACTTTCTCTGAGGCGTCACCTGGAAACCACAGAGGTACAAATTCATATTCAACACTGCCTGTTGAAGTTGCCACCAGGATGAAGGTTAGGACAAGGTGAGCGCAGACCCTGATTTGAGGAGCAAGGCAAGAACAGTGCAGTCTGCACTGCACAGGAGCTACGCTTCTCAGCACACACTGTTCTAACCCCCCAGGGGTTATTGTCAGCAGTTGAAGGCTTGAATGTTTCATAGGAGGGGGCGCAATGCCGTGTGACCGGTGTGTGTAGGTGCAACAAAACCAAGCCTCAGAACAGTTCACAAAGTAAGTTGTTGCCCATTCTTTGGGTGACGGTGATGAGTTTGTGCTGATAGGGATCAACCACTAGTTTAGTGCTCAGATGAGGACTGGTTTTAATGGAGGGCAGAGAGGCCCCTTACCACAGCAGCCAAGATCAAAAGGAGATCCCTTTTCCTCTGGAGTTGTCTGGTTCTGATCTGCTAGCTATTGCTGGGGTTGGCACAAGAGAAAGCTCCGTCCTTCGTCCTTGGGAAGGTGAGAATAGAACTCGCAGAAGGTGGAGCAGGTGCTTAATGCTGAGGTCAGAAGAGGAGCTGAGAACCACTAGATTAGATTTTCATCACTGAGGGCAAGTTCAGATGGTGGGAAGGAGAAGGATGCCCTTTTAGACTGCACTTAGCTGTGGTGAGCATGAGTCGCTTTACATCCCACCAGTCCCCCTTTCTCTTCATAACGTTGTTCCTCGGGTGTCTGTGGACCTTTGCATGCCTCCCTGGATGCTTGAGCTTCTCTGAGATGTGGTGGTCATGGCCAGCATGAGGGCTGGATCCTGTGTGGGTGTCTGAGCTCCTTTCTTGACTCCTTTCCCCCTCGAATGAGCTGGTATGGGGCCCAGATGGTGGGTGCAGGTGGCTGGTTCACACACACTACAGCTGGCCAGGTCCACTGAGACTGGCAGGGGCACAGCTGGAGGGGACAACAGCTTGGCACCTTGTCCTCTGCACCAGCAACGTACTGTTCCCTTGGTGCAGGCTCCTGCCTTAGCAAAGAAGGTCCAGAGAAGCCCAGACTGCAGCGGAGCAGGACATGAAGCTGTGAAACCCTCTGTCACTTTTGGCCATGCCACCTGGGGCTGTGCAGGGGAAGTTTGGGATGTGGCTGGAGGAGGTCTGGCTGCAGCGAGAACCAAGCAGCTCAGCAAGGCATGGGAGCGTGCTAGGGCTGGTCAAAGAACTGACAGGGCAGACACCAGGCTTGCCTGGTAATGTGTGTGTCCCTCCTGTAAAAACCGCCTGTGACATTTGTGTATAACCAAGAAGGTGCCTATTGGCAGTTAAATAACCCAACAAACCAGCACGAATGCTTTTTTTTTATGAAGCAGATTTGACAGAGAGATTGGGTGAGTGCTAATATTCTCCTTGAGAAATTAGAGCATGAAAGCCTTGGGCAAGGTGAGTCCATGACACCAAGGAAACAGATGTCAGCACCAGCAACCAGATCTGCCCTGCTCATGGGTGCTCAGCCCATCCATCATGCAGAAGGCTGTAGTGCTGGAGGGATGGCCCAGGGAAGGATGGTGAGGAACCAAGTGTAGTTAAGCCAAGTACACACTTCAAATGTGGGGTTTTTGTGCCTTCTAGAAATAAGCAGTCTCATAACCCACCATCTGGTTCAGTGTTATCCACAGCAGAGCACCATGTGCTATGAAAGGAAGGCTATCAGCCATTATCAACACCATACATTCAGTACATGCTGTGAAGCGTTCCTGCACTGACAGCTTCTTACCAGTAAATATAAAAAGAGGAGGAAAAAGTGGATGTACTAAAGAGAAAGGGGAAGGTTGCACTGGGCAGCAGTGGGAATGGAGACACACAAGTGCTGTGCTGCTTGGGGTGGTTGGTGTCTTTCAGCAACCCCTGTGTAAGCAGTTACTGCAGCACCTTCTGCATCCCCACCAGACCTTGCAGGAGCTCTGTCCCCCAGCTAGGACAGTCTGCAGCAGGGGATACTTCAGTGTGGCTGCTGGGCTGGTGCTCGGCCCTTAGCAAGTGAATTGAGGCATCAGATGAGCAGGCAGGAGGGCTTATCTGATACCCTGACCCTCTGCTGAGGTCCTGCTGAGTTGACTGAGTGCCTTGTAAGTGCTTCTTATGCTTTAGGTTTTTAGCTGATGCTCCCCTCCTCCCTGCAGCTGACAGCTACTGGAGCACAGTACTAGGAAATACTAGTAAAGCATACTTTGAATTCACATAGATTTTGTAGAAAAAGAGTTCCATTTTTTAGAATGAGAACACTGTCGTTGTGAGTACAACCATGTGGCATCTTGTTTGGAATTTCCCTTGCTTTCTATATATACACATGCAGCAAAGCCACAGGAAATGGAAGTTTTAAAAAAATACCATAGAGCATAGGTATATGCTCCTTGAACAAGTTTTATTCTTGTAGTCAGTTTTATTATTAGTGAGCCGTTAACCTCGCAGTGTCATTTAAGGCTGCTTCTTGAAAGATGTGATGTCCTAAATCACCGGAGGAAGAAGCAGGCATGGCCTGAAAGGTTGCAGAAGACCTGAGAAGCTTTTTTGGCCTTATGCTGCCCATGCTGCAGAAGACAGCATTATTGTTGATCTCTCCTGGGGCTTTTTGGGGTAGGGACCAACTTCTGAGGCTTCTCCCAGTTGTATTTTCTGAGATGCAGCGAGTCAGTCTTGCCTACAGCTGCTGCTGTGATAGTGTGCTAAGGGCCTACATTCTAATTAAGTCCAGGAGTAATGAGAACCAGCAGTTAGAGGATAGATGGTCTGAACTCCTCGTTGGTGGTGAGACAGCTGCTTAGGAGCTCTGAGCTTGTCCAGGGTCTGAACTCGGGCTGGTTTGGAGAGCAAACCTGAAGGACGCTCACTTAGTGAGGGAGGTATTTCAGAAGGGATGGACTAATCATGAAGGTAACTGGACAAATACATCTTGGCAGCTGTTAATACGCAAAGACACATTCCTGCAAGACCCAGAAGAGACAGTTACCTTGCTTCTACCTCCCAGCCTCCTTGGACCTACAGTGGTACCTCTGTCTGTCTTCTAGTATTGGCATGCCTCTCCAGAACATCAGCAACTAGAGATTTACTGAAGCCCAAGCAGGGGTTTACTTTGCCTGATAATGGGGTTCATTTATCTTGGATGCCTTTTGTCGCCAATACAGCAAATAAGGAACTGAGTGCCGTACAGTCACATCACTTTTCTGTACGGTTTCAGGAGGCTCTTGTGTGAGTCCTTGTTGCTGCAGTTCTCCAGGTGATGTGTGTTTCAGTGAACTAGCGTTGTACAAATGGATAATGAAAGTTCATAAAGTTTATGCTATTGAAGTTCCTTTCATTTTATGCAGTTACTTTCTTATTTGCATGTTTTTATTGCTTTCTTTTAGGAAAGAAGACGGGTTGCTGTTTCCATTTAACCAAACAGCACATGCACTACTTGGATGGCCATTCAAGTGGCAAAGAAGACCAGTGGGAGGCCAGAAGGAGCTTTCCTTAATCTAAAGGGTTCAAAAAATGCTGGGAACTTGTGGCTGCTCTCACTTAAGTAATGGGGCAGTGGAGCTGACAGGTTTTATGCATTCTGCTCTGCAAGCTGTGGATTGTGAATGTAGGTGGTTATGCTTGCTTGGGGGATGCCCTGATGTGTGTGCTTTGTGTGGTGAGGAGAGGGCAAGTAAAGATTTTCTAGTGTTTACCCAAGAGATCTACCAGTGACTTCAGTGTAAAAGTCAAAGCACTGGGTAATAGACAAGTTTTCATAGGAAGATAGGTTATGCCCTATAATCTTAAACAAAAATTTGCCTGTAAGACACCCGTAGTTCTTCGCAGTGTGTGTAACTGGGTTCTTGGTTAAGCCAAAACAAGAAAAAAAGTAAGTAAGGCTTTTTAGCAGCCCCCAAAAAACTCAGTAGGAAATGGTAAAGTAAAATAGCTCTGAAACAAGGCATTTTTATACTGAAACAAGCAGGTCTGTCCTAGATTTTTGCCACAGGCATCCAAATTTCAGTCATCACTTACTGCACAGCTTTAGGTAGTAGCTGGAATCTGTGCTTGATCTAGAACTTCATGTATTTGGTCCAGTGTGGTCCACACTGCAGGTACATCTTGCTGTCCATCACTGGAGCGCCCTCCTTTCTCATAATTCATGCCAGTCTCTCTCTGCTTTGACTTGGGACTAATTCATGGGTCTTAAATCTACAAGGACAGGTACAATTTATTTGTGTACTGCAGACTGCAGATTCTCGCATCTAATAGTTGTAGGTCAGTCTGTCCGACTATAACCCCCTGGGGCTAACATAAGTAGAAAACAATAGCAGACTTGAGCTTCTGACGTACATTAAAGTAGCGATCACCTCAGTGCAATAAAAAAAAGGTGCTGCCAGAACCTAACTTACTGTATTACTGCATTTCTAACTGTCTTGTAATGTCAATTACTGGGAAAAAAAGTCTGTCTTGTGCTGTATCAGTCACTGTCAGTGTAGTATTGATGTACACTGAAGCTGTAAACAAGGCTTGTCTAATGAGAACAGCCAGGAAAAGTCAGATTAGTTTATGCCACAGGAAGTTTAATCATCTGTTTCTCAGCCTGATTTCTGTGGGCTGCATCTGATCTCTGAGGCCTTAAAAGGCAATGTCTAAAATGGTCACTAAAAAAAAAGAAAAACATCTCTGCTTGTTTGTGCATGTTGTGTTGGGAAAACCAAGCTAGTAATCAATCACAGGTTTGCAATCAGTTCAAGATTAGATTGGCAAGAACTATTGCACCTGCATACAATGGCCTGGGCATCTTTTTTGGTAGTATCCCACCTAAGGCAACATTGGCATCAACCATTATCTTCCTTTAAGGCTGTAACAGCATTCTGAAAAGGAAGTATCAAGGAAAATGGCCACAATCTTCCTGAAGTGTAGTACTTGGAAGGAAGCAGGGCAGGAGTGTCATTACACAAAGCAGTTTTATTTAATTATGAAAGGTTATGGTTGCACTCAGCCTCTACTTTCTTTACTCTGCATCCTATCTTTAACTCTAGAGCTGACACAGTGAGAAATATCTGAAGCCAAGGCTGAAAACCCCTGTGGCCTTGTTATATCTGTACACTTCAGCTTCTGATACTTCTCAAAACAGGCCCCTGCTACTCATTGAAGTTATCACCATTGCAGAGAGGATAAGAAGAAATATAAGCTAGCACTGGCACAGTCACAGATGTGTGGCAAGGTAGGGCGTTAAACATGTTCTTGTGCATCTTAAAGGTCATTCTTCCTTGCATAAATGAGGAGTGGTTTGTCAACATATTTGAAAATAGTCTGAGACTGAGGTAACGAAACAACTTGTATCTGAAACCATGACATTTAGTTAGCCCTTAGTGCAGTTCAAGGGACAGTTTCACCTTTAAATACTTACACTGAAAGATTTTTGACCACTTTACTAATGTAGTAAAGCAACTGCACAATCACTTTTATTATAAAAATAATCCTTGGGTAAAATAGGAATACAGTCAATAGTTACACAAATACACATTTACAAATGTGTAAACAGGTAGTTAAGGCACAGAAAAAATAAATATCCCTCTACACTCTTTCTGTGCAAAAAAGACAGGCTGGTCTTAGTCAATAACCAGCCCTTTTATGGTTTCTTCACTTCTCCTGATTTCAGCTGAACACAAGGATTTTCTGATGTGATGTCTGAAAGTTCAGCCTCAATAGACAATACTTTCACTTTTAATCCAGATACAGCACAAGATTTTTACTGTCTTCTGCCAAAGAACTCCTCCCCTGTTCTTCAGCTTACATTTTTGGAAGGGGAGGAAAATCTCAAGTTCAGTCATTTGTTTTTCCCAAGCCTTCCAAGTGCTGTAAAGAGTTAGACTCAAACACAACTCAAGCTGCGCTCTGAAGCTAACTACCACTGTATGTTTCAGTTTAATCTGTAGCAGGATTTGCATTAAGCTTGCATTCCTTGTAGTTGTCAAAAATAGTTCTTCATAAAAACACTTTGCTTTATCTTGAAGCCTTTCATACAGTCCAAGAGAAGGTGAAATCAAGTCAGAGGTAGATACTGCTCATCCTCCTGTTTCCTAAGAGCTGAATCACTCTGGCTTAGGACTGAAGGAGATATGTCCAGAGCAAGGTTTTGCTGTCTATAGAGTAGTGATCGACTTAACACGCCTCACACCGCGTGGTCACTGGCAACATTCAGCAACATGCTTCAGGAATTCATCACTGAGTTCGTCACTGAAAAACCTCATACAATGAGGGCATCTAAGTTCACCCTGTGCCCTGCCCTCGAGTTCTGAGTCTCCACTGTCCGCAGGAGGAGAAGCTTGTTCAGACTGTGAAGATGTCCTTCTCGTGCCTGTTTGGCCTGGGCTGTTGCCTCGTAGATGTTCAACATTCGTCTGCACATACATATGGTTTTGGTTACCTATGTGAACTCTGAAACGACTGTTTGTGTCTCTTGAGTCCTAGAAAGAGAAAACAACAGCCATTGAAAAAGATACACTAAAAAGATATTCTTCAATAGATTATTTTATCACTTTTACCTGAACACTGCTCATGGTTTGATCAGAAGATCTGTAATTAAAATATGCATCCATTTTTGTAATTTCATTAATAAAGTTGTAAAGATGACTTGTAGGAAACACAGAATAGAGCCACTATGCCACTGTTATAAGAGTCATAGCCATCCTTCTCTTCCTTCCAAGAAATCAGCCTTGATATGCTGATCCAAAATAGAAGGAAAATGGACTGGGAAGGGGTATTATGTGTGTATTGGGAAGCATCTCCACTAAAACTGACTGGTATAATGTAAGTTTTTGATAGCTGCACTGAGATGAAATGGGTTTAGAAGTACTGAATTATTTTTAAGTATACTTAAAAGTATATTTTAGTCCTGAATCCTGTTGATGTGCTTTAATTGAAAAAGTAGCATGTTGCTTCCTTACCTGTCTTCTTGCTAGCTGGTGTTGCAGGCATGCAATTTCTGCCTGAAGCTCTTGTATTTTGGTCTGTGCTCGTTCTCTGTCTGATCTCTCAGATGTGAAATCATCTTTATAAACTAGGACCTGGAAAACAGAATTCTTGTGTTAATATTTAGGAATTAGAATGCTGGCAGGTTAGATCAAAACACTGAGGTTGCGACTCCTTTGTTTGTAAACACTTACTCCCATAATCTCAATATCTTCTCTATCATATCTATACTTCAAAAGTATTTATATTTCTTCTTCAGATCTTCCATATTTTGTATTAAAGCCAGCAGAACTGCATGCAGATCTGCAAGTAGTGGGTTTTCTTTAAATCTGTTAAGTATCTCTATAGCCAAATGTGGCAAGCCAAGTGGCAAACATCAAAGGAAATAATTTCATTTTCCCCCCTTAGACTTCAGTGGTCTGGAGAGAAACTAAGAATTCCTGCCTCTAGGAAAAAGAAACTTAATGACCTGTTGCTCCAGCATTTGTATGCGCTCATTATCTCCTTCACTAGCTTTCTTCACATCTTCTAATTCTCTCTTTGTTTTTATGCATTCATTCATTTTTTCTTCCAGAAGCTTGTTTAACCGGAGTATCTCCTTGCGCATCAGGTCAGAATTCATCGGTGCTGAAGCTAGGCTGTGCTGCTGCTCCAGTTGTGTCTTCATCTCTTTTAGCTGCAAATGGAGTCGCTTCACATACTCATCCCTACTCGCATCATATTTCTGCCATTTGGCATTTAAGTCTTCCACCTGAAATATTACCCAAGAGAGTCATGAAGAACATGAAGACACAAACATGAAGACATAAACTTACAAGCTTTCACAGAGTGCTTATGTGTGCAGGACCAAAATTCTTTAGAAGGTGGAGGTGGCCCTGGCGTAGTGCTGTTCTCCTGGGGTGGAATGCTGATGCATGGAAGGAACAAGAAAATTTTCTTCTGCAGTGTATTTTTAACAACAAAACCCCCAGTATCTTAAAAAATAATGTAATCAGTTGTTCTCAGCTAAGGAACAAAGACTGTTTGCCATGTTGAAAAGAAGTTTGGACTTGCATTAAACTGCCATTTAATTAGATTACCAGGCTTTACCTATTCCAAATGTACTGTAATTCAAAATACTTTATCAAATCTTAATCTTGTACAAAATGAAAGTACTCACGTGAGCTACTTTTTGTTTTAACATCCTGTTTTCATCTTGTAGGCTGCAGATAAGAGCTTGAAGTGAAGTTTCATTGCCTAACAGCTGTAATTTTTTAGAAAAAGGAAGTGTTACTTTAACATAAAAATCTCAAATGCTACTTAGCTATGCTGTTAATCTTTTCTAAGTTCCTCTAAAGTGTTTGCTATCAGTGAAACGAACACATCTAGGTCTATCTCTTTATAGTATATTTCTAAATACTAATAGTATAGCCTACAACTTTTATTACTAATAAAGCAAAAAGGTATCCAGATTTTTGCCACCTTGGTCTTGCTTTTTAAAGTAGATCTCTGCTGTGTCATAAAAACATATCTGCCTTACCAAATTCTGAGCCTACTGAAGGTTACAAGAAAAATACCCCACATTTTACGTGCATGAGGGTCTGATGATGATGACATTTTTCACAAACTCCTTGGAAACTACTTGTTTGGAGTGGAGGAACGCATGACAAAGACACAGATGTGCCTTCATCTTGCTTTGTTGTTACTGTCAATTTTGGCCACTACTAGGAAGAAATTACTGAGGGGAAAAAAAAAAACAACAACCCTGCTTGCTAAATAATTAACTAAAATGATACCTTTTTTTTACAGTTGTGACATCTGCTTAAAAAAGCCCCGATGTACATGAGTAATATAGAACACTTTTGTACAAAATTCCCTAGAATCAGCTAGTAATTGCATCTGAAATTTCTCTTCTTCAACAGGGAAGTCCCCACTGTATAAGGTTAGCTACTTATTACACGTACCGAAGTCAATCAGGTTTCCTGTCTATCAATTACACGTAAAATATGATAATACTAAATGCTTTGAGTCTCTTAAAAAGTCCTTTTTTCTTAGATCTAGTCAACCTCTAACTATTTCTTACAGGTAAGTGATGTGCATAAGTTCTGTGGAAATGCTCCTGGGTTATTTTATGATGCATAAGTGCACGCATATGGAGTTTATCATAAAAGCATAGATAAGTGGTCATGTGAAACATGGCATTACTGCTACAAAGCCGTAAGAACATGAGACAATTACTCTTTCTTGTGAGAACTAGCTGTAGCATCCTACTCAATACTCTAAACTGTTACTGGAGGCAGCACCTCTAATATTATTTCCTTATGGTATTATGAATTACCTAATGACTCCAAACCATTATGTCTTCTGGAACAACAGACCAGGATCTACCTCTACCCTACATTGGAAAGCTTCAGCTAAGGTGAAGATGCAGCAAAAACACACAGCCATTAAGTACACCGAAATCCAGGTGTTTCTTTGTGCCCCTCAGTAGCATTTCTGCCACCTTCCTATCTAAACCTCCCTCCTGGAGAGAAACATTGCCCTGTACTGGGAGGCTGGGGGGAAACCCCAGAGCAAAGAAACAAAGGTAAGACACCTTGACTTCTTCCCTAACCAGCTTTCTGTAGGTCTGTACTATGTGTACAAAGCCAAATCATGACCTGAGCATCTGCTAGAGTGTTCTTAATATCAATACTACTTTAAAATATCTCTGTTTTGTGGTTATTTAGATGCTAAAACAAAAATGAGGAGATACCACCTTCTTAAGTGCAGCACCATCTAGTGATGCACAGAAGCATGCTGTGGTATAAAGAAGACGCTGTCTCCTGTTTATACAGGGAAGAATTGTAATCATGGAATTGCTGAGGTTGGAAGGGACCTCTCAGGATTCTCCTCTCAAAATAAAGCCTCTGGTGGTGAGACGGCCAAAATGCAAGGCACTGACAACTGCTTCCATCCTAAATAGTTGGTACTCAGAATTATTTACATCTTGCCATGATAGCCTTTTCACCCTACATGAAATTATATAAGGGGATATTTCTCACCATTCCCCAATTACAACTATCACATTGTAATTAACACCTTGGAAGGTAGTAAGACTTTAAAGAAATACAGTAGCAGTAAAAATACCTGGTTAGGTCTTTCACTGGGTATCTGGTCATCTGAACTCCCCTTCTCTTTTCTTTGCTTCTCTTCTAGACATTTTGCCAGATGTTGACACATTTCAGCTGTGGAAGCTAATTTACGTTGAAGTTGATGCATTTCATCAGTGAGTGAACGGCACAAAACATCACTGGTGGCCTGAGCCTTCTCTCTCTCTGCCAAGCTCTTCTGAAGTCGCAAGATTTCTCTCTCCTTTTCATATGGAGGCTGGTTTATCATCTGCTGTATCTCTCCATTTTTCTCCTCTAGTTGCTTGTTCAACTTCTGTACTTCCTAAACATAAAGGGAAGTTACTGAAAAGTAAGGTGAACTAAAAAGCCAAAACATGTCTAAGACTGAATTCCATATTGCCATAACTCCATATCACTCACTGCAAAGTACTTAAAAAGTAAAGTCCAACTCATTTATGATCACTTGACCTTGGAACTGACAGATCAATCAAAATCAGGAACTGCTCAGACAGCTATACAAGCAGTTCCTAGTCAGTAGAATGCAGCAAAAATTCAGGATGATTTTATGGTAAGATAAGCAGCAGCAACAACAAAATAACAACAGAACTTACAAGAAACAAAGTAGTTTAAAAGGAGTAACTATGGAGCCTGAGAAATGCTTACTGGTCCTGCTTTCTAAGTTACCAGATGGTAGAGATTTGCTTTAGGAAAAAGGGGAGCTGGAAA